CTGGTTAAGTTCGCTCCAGACTCGGGGAGTATTGTTCTGGCGCGCTCCTCTAACTGCCGCAATCGACCCATATGAATTTGAGTGATAGTTTTCTGAGATAAAGCAGTTGAAGCTATGGTTAGAGAAAGCCCCTATCTAGCGTGCTATGAATGAAAATGTGCGCAATCACAGGATGAGTTCGTCGACTCAGCGTTCACTAGGAGGAACATTCTCGAATTTACTCTAACAATGATTAGCTTATCGAAGGGCATGCCTATCGATCAGAAGTTGCCCTTGTGTTTCTTACGGATCGTAGTTCCTGCCGAATGAACTCGACAGCTCAGTGATCTTAAAGCCTTGCTGAGGATCCTCCATCTCCAGTTTCAGCGACACTGTCCATGTAACCTATTAGATCGCAGCTATCGGGCTAGAGGGCTCATCTCTGGGGGAACCCACTGATTGCTTTCGACGGCCACCAGGATGAAACGCCCATAAAGACATGAAGTCGTCAGCTTCGCAATGGATCTTCTGCAGTCTCGAATCGCGTGATTTCTGCATGAGCTCTTTGCCGTAGACTCCTAAGGCAGACCTCTTCTGGAAAGCGTCTGTTCCATCCAAGTCATCGTCTTCTATCTGTTTCAACACTGCACGGCTGAGCATGACGTCGACAGCTATGTGATCAGGCTCCTTCCTCGTGGTGGATGTATTCCCACGAGTCGTGTATCGAGTAACGTCTGATAAGACCAGCCTCTCCATGCCGTCATCTCCCACATCTTTATCATAACCCAATTGCAGCTGAAATGGTCCATAGCATCGCACAGAGTGTTGGCCAGGCTTACCTTAGTCGTCTCGGTAGGAGTGGAGAAGATAGTTTCGGAGAATGAGGAATAATGTCGTGGGTCGATTGGAGCCTATAGAAAAAGGTTCAACCTCGGAAGTATGGGTTCCCGAGAGGTCTTTGTTATTTCTATTAACAATCGATCGGCTGAATACTCGGATAGGCCACCATGGCGACCCAGGGAACTC